GAGAGCCTGCAATGTGCTAGAATAGAGCAAGCTTAAAGACTAGTGTGTAGGGCTGCTCATTTGAGACCCCTCTCGCTGTGGCAGGAGCTTTTGTCTCTCCTTCAATAAATTTTTGCTTTCGCTTACCAAAAAAAAAAAGACTAGTGCATAGTTGATTAATACTGCTTGTGTTGGAACAAGTAGCTAGCCATTTGGAAGGGAGGAAAGCTAGATTTCTCCCTTACTCCTGGGGACAGTGAAATAAATTTTAGATGGATTCAAGATTTAAAGCCCCAGCCAGGTAGGTAAGTTGGTTAGACCATCTTCCCAGTATGCCAAGGTTTGGGTTCAGTCTCCTGCCAGGGCACATACAAGAAGCAACCAATGAATGGATAAATAAGTGGAACAACAAATCAGTGTGTGTTTTCTTTCTCTCTCTCTCTCTCTCTCTCAAATCAATAAAAAAAAGATTGAAAATGTAAAAGTACTATAAGAAACAAATTTTAAAGAATTTTGACACAAAACCTAAAAGATGTAACAAGTAGATAAATTTGAATATCTAAAATTTAAACATTTTTTATGGAAGAATATACCAGAAACAAACAAGAATCTGGGATTGCCCTTGTTACCAAACCCAAGGGATTCACTCTTGGGGTGTTCTCTTTAAGAACGAGAGGTGGTTATCCTTAGGTAGTTTTATTTATTTGCAGCAAGTAAAGGAAACAAGGGATTCACATCCAAAGCTCTGTCTCCTAGAAGGGAGGCTTAGCCATTGACTTCTTTGCAGTTGGCTACACTTAAATCAGGTTGCGTTCCTGTCAAGCTCATTCTGTTTACAGCTTTATCTGCAAAATACCATGCTATAATTTAACATGTAGCAGGAAAAGCATTTAGTAAGGATAGGCCAGACCTTGAGACCTTTATCCTATCTAACATGGTGAATCAACTAACAGTGTAACCAATATGAAAGTCAAGAGGCTTATTTTCTTGCATGGTAAGCATTTAAAAATATATGAACTAAAGATCAGCAACACATTAAGAAAGTGGCCTGTACACTTAAGGAGAAATTCCCAGATAAAAATACATGGCTGGATTATAAAAGAGTAGACAAAAAAGGTTCCATATACTAAACCTGACAAGCTCAGGGGAAGCCAGCATGGTGGCCCTACAAATTCAGTGACTGAAAGTAACCACATAGGATGGTCTGAACACAAACATTCCTAAATCAAAGCAAGTCATGGGGTAGTCACGTCCTACCCCTATAGCTTCCTTGACAAAGGAGACCACAGAACCCTTCATTGCTATCTTATTGCCTGGATATCACCTCTCTGTGCTATGAGTGTTAACTGTCCTGTACCCACTAATGTAAAAGAAGTATGTGTCTCTTCGTTTTAGTTTTTCTTTAATCCCAGAGATTTCCCTGCTTTGTTTTCTCCCGCCCCCTTAATTTACCATCAGTGGATTTCATGTAACCTTCCTTATGTCTCCTCATTTGATTCTAATTTTATAAAATAAGCTGCAAAACTGCCATTCTCCAAAGAATTTTCTCAGTTCATTGAGATTTTGCTTCCCCACGACTGTTGTCAGTTTGGCTCAAATAAACTCATAATAACTCTCTATATGTTTGGACATTTCTTTTGTTGACAATAGGAAAACATGATCTGTCTCCTCAAAATTCAAAATTCAGGACAAATGTAAAAAAGTTTGCTGTTGGGGGATTGTGGGAAAAGATACTTTTCTATGGGTATGAATTTGAATTGTTACAATTTCTGTATAGAGGAAATTGGTAATATCTAAAACTGTAAAAACTCATATTTAGGCCTAGCAGTATCATTTCCAGAATTTCATTTTATAGACATACTTTATTATATTGATATACTATATAAATATAAATACAACGTAAGTATGCAAAAATAAAGGATGTTTCAATTTACTTTTATTCCCTTTTTGCTATACATTTCTCTATAGCTTTTATATTCTAAGATGCTTTATTATCTACTTATTTGTGAAAACATTGGATATGGCATGCCTCTGTGTAAATGAAAGGTATAAATATATATAATTATAAATACATGCGTATGTATTTGGACACATTTATGCTTATAAATGTACATATTCGCGTGTAAGTGTATATAGAAAGGTAGATATTTTTTAAGGGATTCCCTTTCAAACATGTTGTTCTGGACAGGAAGACTGAAGAAAACAGAGGTCTGGGCTGGAGACTTAGTTTTAAAAATGTATTTTTGTATGTTTGTATGTATTACTTTAGAGCATATAGTTAATTAAAATATAAATATTTGCTGAAATGTATAGCTGTACAAACTATTAAATGTTAGACTTTAAAAATGATTAAGTCATTAACAGCTTAATTCTGACCAGCTGGAAAGAACTGGCTGATGAAGCTGAAGTGTTCATTATTATTGTAATAGCCAAACATGCAAAATATATATCTTAGACCTTGTTTATGGTAAAATAGATTTTTACAAGTTTAGAGAAAAGGTATGATTGTATTCCTAAAGGCTCTGAAATGGAAGATAATTCAAGAGAGATGCAGGCCTTTAAGCTATGAAATTTTGCATGTATAATACCAAATGATTGTGAAAATAATTTGAGAATGAAAACAGGAGTTATCTTGCATAATATTGTCTTAATATGCAGATCATTCCAATTTGTTTAGATTAAAAAATAATGTCTATACTCTGTACTGTTCTAGTGTTTCAGTCTTATGAGTATTTTTTCAAAAAGAAAACATCAATAGGAATTATCTGAACAAGGAGATTATGACACATTTGTTTTGTTTTTTTCTTTGCATTTCATTGTATTAAAAAAAAGAACCAAATCCATTAAGTATTGTATTAGGAAAAAAATGTATCTAAAAAGTATTTAAAAGCCAAATACAAAAGAGTACTAGGAACCTGTAAGAAGACTATGGGATTAAGCTATAAACTCTTTATAAACATTGGGTTGAAATGGACTTTTGAAGCTGTACTCTCAGCTTTCTTATTGGAAAAAAAATCAATCATTCCATTGGTTTTGATGGTGCTACATTATCCTAAAAATTAGAGGAAATACAGCTTCTCAACTGCAGTCTCGTAATAGCTCCATCAAGAACAACTTTCAAGACCAGAGGAAACATTAAAAACTACTTGAATATTAAGATAGTTGAGATTGTTCAAGTGTAACTAATGGATTCTTGTTTTTTTTTTTTTTTTTTTTCCTTTTAAATGAGTTCACATCTCTGGGCCCAAATGATTATATGTGAGTGTTGAAAATATTTATGGAATTGATCTCAGAGCCATTGTTATCTTTTATTGAGGCCAACTAAGTAAAGCCTGAGAAGGGTATACAGTACTGTGTAGATGGGCAAATGTTAGATCAGCTTTTGAGAGGCACATTGATTTTGTGAACTAAACATCAACGACTGATATAAAGTCCAGGAAAACTATAGAAGCTTGACACTGGACTCTCCACCATCAGGCTTTAAAATAAAATACCCTTTCAATCTTATCTACCACTAGGCTTGTTTATCATCCACTCTAGTTAGTTACACAAAGTTGTTTACTTTCCCCAAGTCTTTTCCAGCTCCATTCTTTGGCTCAAACTTCCTCTCACTAGGCATTCCCTTCAAGTCCTGCCTATAGAAATCCCACTCTTCAAGGTTTACCTCAGAGGCCCCTTAAGCACCAAGCTAGAAGTAATTTCTCTCTCCTTTGCTCCTCTTGTATTCCATGAGCACATCCATTATTGAATACAGAATATTCTGCGTACTTAGCTGTATACACTTCATTGAGTCACAAAAATTGAAGTTGGAAGGAAGGGTTTTGAGACAATCCGGTTTCCATCACATCTGCAAGATTTAAGGGCAGGGATCAAGTCACATCTAGTTTTTAAATCTCTGATTTGTTTCCTTCTTTATGTAATGAGTGCCTAATTTAATGATTGGGAGGGGCATACCACCAGAATCCTGAAGAAACGCAACGTTTAAGTTGTTTTTCAGTTCTTATATGAGTTCACCTGGATTGTTACATCCTGTTGCACATTTTATAGATCTAAAGCTTTGACTCCAGAGCTATAAACAGTTTCAAGTTTATCTAGAGATATTTTAAATGACCATGTGCATATAGACATTTATCAGATTATTAGATGGCATTTGGTTTTCACCAGTTGTTTTGTCACCAAGTCATGTGGTCAAAGCCACATACATTGCATGGCTACTTGTTTCTGTTTAAACTCAACCAACTCCATTTAAATATCAAACACACTAAGTCTTGCATCGTTTTTCTGGAGGTGTATTTCTAGGAGTGTCAGTTACAAAGACAACTGAAAATACACTCTACAAAACAGAAGCTCCTACTGTTGACTTGTAATCATTACAGCTGGTTTTAAGTTATTTTGTAACTTATTCCAGTAGGTGTCAGTGCTGAGTTAAGGCAAAGTTCGTTTTCCAAGTGTAAAATTTTAACTAAAAAATTTTTTGGGAAAGTTATTTAAGTTCAGGCGATGAAAAATATCAGCTGTACGTCATTATTTCTTGAGGACTTTTTACAAAAGAGACGGGGTCTCGCTATGTTGCCCAGGCTGGAGTGCAGTGGCTATTCACAGGCGCGATCCCACTACTGATCAGCACGGGAGTTTTGACCTGCTCCGTTTCCGACCTGGGCCGGTTCACCCCTCCTTAGGCAACCTGGTGGTCCCCCGCTCCCGGGAGGTCACCATATTGATGCCGAACTTAGTGCGGACACCCGATCGGCATAGCGCACTACAGCCCAGAACTCCTGGGCTCAAGCGATCCTCCAGCCTCAGCCTCCCGAGTAGCTGGGACTACAGGCGCGCGCCACCGCGCCCGGCGCAGGGCGGAGGCGCCCAGCCGCCTTAGAGCCTCCGCTCTGGTGACGTCATCAGCTCTGTGGCCTACATTTCCCAAGACTACTTACGCACGTGAAATAGCGTGGCCACATCGCGCATGCGTCGTGTGTCAGCACGGCATTTTGGGAAACTGTCCCCAAAAGTTCAAGAACGCATGCGTGGGCTAGCTCTTTCCTTTTGCCTCGTTGCTTCAGAGAGAGCAAGATGGGTCACCAGCAACTCTACTGGAGCCATCCGAGAAAATTCGGCCAGGGTTCTCGTTCTTGGTGAGAGAGAGAATGTCCTTTTAGGGAAGGGTTGCTCTGGGGCGCGACGGTGCTTGAAATCTAAGAAGAGGAAGTCGCAGGTGGGGGGACCGAATCGGAGCCGTCACTGCCGCCATTACAGGCCTCTGTTGGGTCTGTGAAAGCCAGCGGTGTGGATGGTGGCTCCCCCCCGAGTGTGTGGGATCCTTTCATTTCTGCTACCTGTCGTAATGCTGTCTCTCTTCTTACAGCCGCGTCTGCTCAAACCGGCACGGTCTGATCCGGAAATACGGCCTCAATATGTGCCGCCAGTGTTTCCGTCAGTACGCGAAGGATATAGGCTTCATTAAGGTACGCGGGCGCGGGCGTCCTGCCCTGCCGTGCTCTTCCTGCTCTGTGGGCGGCGAATGCGCGGGTCGCTCTTTAGTGAGCAGTCGGCTAACAGCGTTTTCCTCTGCTTTAGTTAGAAGGGCAGCCGGTGACACTTGAGAGTTTTGGCAGTCAGGTTAATAGAATAGGGAGGGGGAAGGCCCTAACTCCATTTTACCCAGCTCTGCCAGTATTAGGTGCCATGTATTATATAGTATAAAATTAACTTTCAGAACCACTGAAACTGAATTGCAGGTATCTTTAATTGTGCCTAGACATACATATGTGTGTTAACCGCTGCCCTGAAATGCTCGATAGTGTCATATACTGGAATGAGCTTGAGACTTGGGGCTAGATAGACCTTGTGAAGATTCAGGCAGTGGTCAAGTAACTTAAATCTGTTTCTGCCTGTGAAAAATGAACGGTGAGGTTTTAAAAGATTAGTTAATATATGTGAATATATATAAAATAATGTATGTGAAGTTTCTTAACTTGTAATAATCAGTTACTAGGAGTTGATTTTTTTATTTTTATTTTTTGTGAAAACGAATTCCTTATGGGCTCCGAGATGCATTCATGTAGCTTGTTTAGGATATTGAGTGGAACCTACTTGTTTAAAATTGATGTTTTTGTGTTGACGTAGTCTACTAAGTATAAATTGTTAATGTGAGATCTCTGTGGCAGAGACAAAGTAACTTAGCTTAGACTTTTACCCTTGACCAGTACTTAACAAGTAGGTGTTTGTGTTGATATGGAAGTTTAAATAACTCAGTGGGAGGTAGAATATCACTGAAGAGTTAGTGAACTCAGGCCCACTCCCTAGCTTTATGTCTTCAGTTTCTCCTAGAGGTTAAGATGAACAGCTCTTAATATAGTGTCTGGCACACATTGAGTGCCAAAATGGCTGTGTAATTATCTACTTAACCATCCTGAGCTTTTGGGGAAGATCATTTTACATAGTAGTGTTTCTGTAGTGGGAAATATCTTTGAGGGAAGAAGTGAGAATACCAGTACTGAAATTCAGAGTATAATTGTTGAGGTTTATAGAACAGCTTGTAATAGGCATTCAGTAAATATTTTAAACTATTTAGATCTTGACAGCTAGTTCAGATGGGTCAGGTTTCCAGTTTAAACCACATTCTATTATGAGCCATTTTTTGTGTGAGTAAAGTGGATATTTAAAGCATTTGAATTAATTTATTTTCTATCTGCTTTTTTTCAGTTGGACTAAGTGAACTTCCATGAATGGGTCATTCAAGACATCTACCTTACCGCAGAATGCTGTCTCTTTGTACATAAAATAAAAAGAACTTCAAATATAAGTGTTTTAGTGTGAATGGAATAGTCACGTGATTATAGAAATCTGCTATCACTAAAATCTGCTCTGGGCATTTGCCCAGAGGTGGCAGTCCTAGCTTTTGGGATACTTCACACAGGAAAGCTTGTAAATTTCTCAGATATTTATGTGTAGAAGGGAGCAATGATTACAGGTGTGTAATTGCTGAGAAAAGCAGTAATTTCTTAGCATTTGGAGGGGTGAGGGTGGAGGTTGTATAAAATTAAATTACAATCTTGAAAACCTTTGCTGAGAAGCCATGCCTGTATGTAGCTTAGGAACTTTTAGGCAGAGGTAAATATAGGTCCTGTTCGGGAGAGAATTCTTGGAGCCTTCTAGGAACAGTAAAATTGTGGCTGGAGCAGAGTGAGAAGCTGCAAGTTAGGAACTGTTTTTTAGCTCTGTAGGATGTGTTTAGGTCATTTGAGATAAGTTTACATTTGGAGAACAGATTAGAGTGCTATGAACTACTTTTTTAAAAGGTTGACTTGATCTTGTGGGCAACATAGATTTTGGTGTGACAAGGGTGGAAGGGAAACAAAGCTGTTGGAATAGTTTAGGCAAGTGATCTTGTCTTGGACTGAGATAAAAGAGAGTGGTTGAGGTAGTCATAAACAGTGACTTGAACAGGATTTGTTGAAGGGTTGGATGTGAGAAAAACAAAGCAAAAAGGATAGCTTCAAGGGTTTTGGCACCTGAGCATCTGGAAGGCTAGAATTGCTATTGAGCTAGAACAAAATTCAGTTTGGGAAAGATTAATATTTCGGTTTGGGACAAAGTAAGTTCAAAACTTTAATTAGACATCTGTGGAACTCTCAAATAACTCTGTATAAATTCATCTGCAATCCTTGGGAGCTTGGGACTGAGATAAAACTTCGGTTGTCCTCAATGTATCTAGTATTTTGGGATCTCATCCTATGAATGGGTGATAACTAAGCCCTAAAGCCTAGGGAGTAAATATATGGAAAAGAGGATTGTTCTGGGTTACTTCAAGAATAGGCAGGATTCAGCAAAGTATATCAAAGCAGGACCAAGTAAGTGGCATACTAGAAGCCAACTAGGAAGTGATCAGTTGTAAGTGTGTCTCTGATACAATTTATTACTGTAATGTCATCTGAAAGTCAGGAAGATGGAGTGGGAAGAAAAGTCATAACTGTTTGTGGTTAAATCAATGCGAAATTTTGGAAAACCGGACCACATATTGCTAGTGTACCTTCTAGGGCCTTAGAAGGAGCTCATGGAAGTTGGAGACACTGAAGTTTAAGTTTCAAGAGCTTCATAGTAAATACACATCTGCTCCTTACCTTGAGTCCCAGTAATAGGTGATGGTAAATTGCAATTGCTGGAGAAGTGTCTAGGGAAGAGCCAGGGTTCAGTCAGGGTAAGGAGACTGAAAGAATATTGGGAGAAGAGGTTGAAGGAAAGTTTTTGGTATTGAAATGGAGCTGATCTTCCAGATAGGGTGGGTGAGAAGCTCGCCAGCTGAGCAAATGTAAAAGTTTGTGAGATATTTACACATCTAATGATTTAGGTAAATGAGGATCTGAGATGTTTGATTTGGGCATGAAAGTTTTAGATGAGTGGTCTAGAATGGCCCTGTATAAATGCTGTAAGAATTGTGCATTGCCTGAGGGAACACGTGGAAGGGAAAACTCCCTAGCCTGTCCTGGCCTTGTGTGTATGTGGTGGTAGTGGGTGGGGAGGCTGGTGTGGATAGGTTGTCTGGTTTTTCTGCTAGGGGTTGAATAACTTGCTAATTATGCTACACATTATCCTAAGTGCTTTATGTGTATTATCTTTTTCAAATTTCAGAATACATTTCTATAGGTACCTTATGTAGGTGAGGAAACAGGCTTAGAAATTAAGTTATTTCCCCAAAGTCTCCCTAAGTTAGAAAGGGATCAAAACTGTACAGGAACTTGGATCTGACATCTGTCTGACATGCTCATGCTCTTAATACCCATAACACATTGTAAGGTAAAGACCATCTCTTACCCCTAAAGATCAATTATATAAAGGCAGGAACTGTGGTTTCTTTCCATATTTAACAACACAGCATGATGCCTTGTATGTTAATAGTAGTTACTCAGTTGTTGAGTTGAATTAAGTTACCTAGTAAAAGTTCGATAATGTTCATGGCAAAAGATTGGAACGTAGAGCATTGGAGAATATTGTAGGCTTGGTTCCCTTGGATTATTAAATTAGGGCTGACTGGGACCTGTTTAAAGGACTTGAGGACTTGTTCAGTCAAAGATTTTATTTAGCTCATTGATTAATGAAACCAGTAAGATGTTTCAATTCATTTAAAGGAGAATTCAAAGGACCACAATAGGTGAATCAAGGATGTGGAAATGAATTTACAAGTACATGTAAAACTGACTTTTTCGACAAGGGAGAGAAGTTAACTACCAGACAGAATCATTTATGTACAACTTTTAAAGTTGTAAAATAGCTCAAAGACAAAGGTTCAGAGTTCCCACCTACCCCAAGATGGTTCTAAACAAAGCTTTATTCATGAAAGACATCTAATAACCTTGGTTTATGTCTAAGTCTCGCAATTTTTCTCCAGATTTTTAGGCTTTTACCTATAATGATTAAATTTTTTGAGTGCATGCTCTGTGCTAGGCACTGTTACTGCTTTACTTGAATAATACACCTCTGAGGTATAACCTCATTTTACACCCGAGGCACAAAGAATAAGTAACTTTCCCAGACAGCACAGTCGGAGAGATTCAAGTGAGGTAGTGTGCTTTGAGAATTGCTATTACCATTAAACTGTAAATGTCTGACAATTAGGGAAAGCTTTGGTAAATACTGGTAGTCTACAAAGTAGCTAGAGAGATAATTTTCAAAAATGGAAAATTGTGTATGGGGTACAAGTTCACTGTTAAAAGAATGCACAGGGGAAAAAGGAAACCTCTTAGTATGTTAGCAGTGATTGCTTTGAGGCAATAGAATTACTGGTGATATGACTTGAAGTAGTCAGGTAAGTTTTATTTAGGGGTATGGTATGCGGTGGCTATAAAAACGCAGTGTCTGGGGTACCAATATTGCTAATTAGGCTTCTGCTCCTCCCCAAATAGCTCTTAGGTTGCTCTATTAGCAAGTATGTTCTTAGTGTTGCTATGATTTCCTTCCACTGATTCCCACCTGTTGATATTCTACATGATCCTGTGCAAAACAAGTCTAATGTTTTTTCTGCAAGAGAAAAGGTTAAATATTTAGGCATGAGGGCTCTCATGTTCTCCCATAATCTTATTTCAGGTTAACCATTCCTGATTATTTCAACTATTCCTCATGGGACATGATTTAGAGCCATCTTTGGTGATCTCTGAATTAATTCCACTACCTGGATCCTGAGAGTGCCTGGCACAGCATTTCACAGGGCAGGCATGGAGTAAAATTTTTTGAATGAATAAGTGAGCAGATTTGGTAATGATTTTAATTTGGTTGGGCATCAGTACTTTACTTTTTATGAGCCCTCTTTCACTGTTACAGAAAAGCCAGAGACCATGGCCTTTCACAGCTACCTGCATGGCTAATGCCCTTTACAGTTTTAAAGCTGCCTGCTTTGCATAACCTCTACCTAGGAAATAGTTCTTGTAGAAAACTATCTTTAATAATTGGTGCCTTAGGGCTTTGGGATATGTAGAGCAAAGCTCTTCTAGTGCTATGATGAAGGGTGTAACAAGGTGTTTGTATTTCCTCAATATCCACAAGAGTTGAAAAAGGGAAGAGAAGGCTGAACTAGATCAGGGGTAGGGAACCTTTTTTCTGCCAAGGGCCATTTGGATATTTGTAACATTATGGGTCATACAAAATTATCAACTTAAAAATTATGAAGAAAGCTAGGTTTATTGAATTTCAAGTCCTGCTTGCGGTTTCCTTGGCAGGGCCAGACCAAATGATGTCTTGGGCCGTATATGAACATTCCCCACCCCTGTACTAGGTGTTTCTTAAGGGTTAATCTAGAAAATCAAAGGTTCAGTTTGTTGATATTACAAGTCAGGACTGGCTTTTTAAATTAAAAATTCCCTTTTTAAGCCCGGCCATTGTGGCTCAATAGTTGAGTGTCAATCCATGAACCTGGCGGTCACCGTACAGTTCCTGGTCAGGTCATATGCCCTGGTTGTGGCTCGATCCCCAGTAGGGAGTGTACAGGAGGCAGCCAATCTGTGATTCTTTCATCAATGATGTTTTTTTCTCTCCCTCTCCCTTTCTCTGAAATCAATAAGGAAAAAATGTTTAAAAAAATCCTTTTGTTAAATTCAGCCTATTATGTATGTCACTGGTAACCATTCCCTTCAGATGATTTGATTTGTAAACAAGTCCTGGATCACTGTAGGTGTGTTTATGGTTTTAGATGTTGCAGCAATACAACAACTTTAAGAAAGCTTTGAGAGTACCAGTAGCCTCATGCACATTATAAACACAATAATAATTATGCTTAATGTGTAAATAGCTCCCCTGTGTAGACTTGCTGAGCCTCTGTTGCCAAACATCAAGCATTAACAGCAGGGGCTAGAAAAATCAATAAGCCTTTACCCAAGGAACTGGATATGTAGGTTACTAAAACTAACAGCTGCCCATAAAGAATAATATGTTAATGCTAAAGGAGGTTTTATTTCCTAAAAAAAAAAAAAAGAATATATTAAAGGATTACATGACAGTGATAAACATTTCATGGCAGTACAGACAATAAAAGCACAAAATAAGAAATGGAACCTCTTTCTTGACAATCTACTTAGTTTAATTTCATAGACTGAGTCTGGTTTACTTTGCATTCCCTTCACATACCCACAAATCCCATTTTATGATGACACTTGTGTATCTGTTCGTCCTTCAGTGCTAATTAACTCCTGCTACCATTCATGAAGATTAAGTGTGGACACAGCACAGTAGTCTAGTCAATCAGAACAGAAAAGGGTTTGTGAAAATGAATGCATACTTGAAACTTTTTTGGAAGATTTTTTGATAGGTAATCTC